CCCGCCTTGCAAAGAAAGCAAAAAGGACCTGATAATGTGAGCACCATGGGGGAATGATGTGATCACCCACCCGTCTCTTCCTGTTCCTCTCCTTTATCTTCTCTTACTTTCTTCTTTAGAGCTCAGCTCTACTGCATGCCACATGATCTGACATAAATGTAGAGTCAGGACACAGAGTGCACTTCTTTTTTTTTTTAATGCTTTATGGATTTAAAACATAATTTCATTCGAGCCGTTCATGGCTCAGCTTGTCTCTAGGATGTGATGTGATTTAGGACTCATACTGTTACGGGGCGACAGAGACGTGAAGCGAGCGGATCCATGTGCATGCTTTTATTAAGAGATGTGCTCATAACAGGCATGGGTCAAACAATGGCAAACAGGTATATTGAGGGCAAGACACAAGAGTAGTCCAGTGAACGGGCGTGGTCGATCTTCGGCGAACAATGTCCAAACAAGGTAATCCTAAGGGTTAATCCAAAACGCAGGCGTTGGTCCAGGCGAGGGGTAAACAGTATCCGAACAGGGCGAGACGAGAGGGGCAATCCAAAGACAGGCAAGATATCCAAAACCACAACTAGACTAAGCAGGCGAAACAGACCAAGACTAGAAACTGGGCAAACTCAGGATGACTCCCTAACGTTGCTATCACAGACTAGCGATATGCGCAAACAATACTCGGCAGTTTGAGAAGGATCTGAGTGGGTGTAATATAGTGTGTGTGTGATTGGTTACAGCTGTGTGCAATCAGTGCAATGGATGATGGGAAATGTAGTCCAGAGTGACATGCAACAGTCTGTGTAATGTGAAAGTCAATATAATGGGAGGGCGACCTCTGGTGGCAAGAGGACAGAAGTCCATGAACAGGATTCGTGACACATACACTCTTGCAGACAGTGAAGCTAAACTGGAAACAATGAACAAGAAGTGCAAACAATAAAAACATCATCATAGATATTTGGGCAACACTTTGCATTAACAGCCAATCAGAGTTCAGGTTCAACTAGGCACCAATGCATAGACTGTAACTGGACCAAAAAGGTAATCGAATTAGGGCTGTCAATTTAACAGATTCATTTAATGATCTAAAGAAAAACAAATTAAAAAGGAGTGCGTTTACAGTAATAATGCATCAAATCAAGTGAAATAGCACTTTTCACAATACACATAGTTTCAAAGCAGCTTTACAGAAAGTAATAATGCTATATCTATAATGACGATATATAATGATGATACAAGTGATCCTCTGGATTTAGATTTAGAGTGTAGTGTAGCACATATAACATTTTTGTTTTATTAAAAGATTAAAATTTTGGTCTGTTTGGTTCAAAGCAAGAGTAAACAAATCTCAGAAAGTATGAAACAAAATATGATTGGGTGTCAGGTCAAGAGTGTGAAAAAGTCTAATTCTCTGGCACATGTCAGGAGAAACAAACAGTTCTCAGAAAGCAACAATGAAGATACGATTCAGTTGTCTTTAAATGGAGAAATAGCCATTTGTCAAAGACTCTGATTTGAGTTTCCCAACTTGAATTAGCAGTCATTTAAGCAACAGTATAGAGAAATATCGGCTATATAGCTTTAATTGTAGTAAGTAGCTTCTTTGGTTTCAGACAGAATTACTAAAATGTGACAGCATTCCTTATTGTGATTGAAAGTTACTTATATTGTGGTAAAAAAATTCTCATTATTGGAGCACGCTTGAAGTAGCACCTTCATGTTTTTTGTGAATCTGCAGTAATTGTGATTGATTTAACTAATTAATCAACATATCATGGAATTAATCTGAGCGAAAATGTAAAATTGGCAGCCCTAATAAAAACATTTCAGCTCTTTTAATGTTTCTAACCCCTGTAATGCACACAAATGTGTTGTAATGCTCATGTGGGGACTCAATTGAAGTGTTGCCATTTTTACCAGGTTTTTCTTTGACATTTGGTAATATAATATTTTGTTTCCTTTATTATGTTTTGGATTTTGGCCTTTCATTCTGTCTATTTTTTCTGGAGACAGATGTCGAACACCAGGGTGTGATGGGAGTGGTCACGTAACCAGTAATTACGCCTCACATAGAGGGTGTGACTCCATTTTCTAATGGTGGATTCAGTCCAATGAATTTATAGATGTCCAACACCAGGGTGTGATGGGAGTGGTCACGTAACCAGTAATTACGCCTCACATAGAGGGTGTGACTCCATTTTCTAATGGTGGATTCAGTCCAATGAATTTATTGTTTTCAGCTTACTTCAACTATGCTGTCGAAAAGTTTGTAGAGACCGCCTCTCCATGTTAACCCTTTGAATATTTCACCAGGGATAAGTGCTAATTTCAAGAAAAAAAATGCTTTGCTATTAAGAGGGTTAAAATATAGAGCAAAAAAAAAAAAACTCCACTTGCACCATGGCTTTATTGCATTCGCAGTGTTTTCTGAGTGGATTATGTCTGTGTGTGTTTGTTGTTAATATTAGTAGCATGTCTGACCACTGTTATGTTTCACTAACATCTGCATATGCAATCTTTTAGTCTTTCAGGTTGTCCTTTAGCAGATAAAAGCATTCAGAGTATGATGGCCACCAACTCACAAGAACTCAAGTAAGGATCAAACTGTTGTTTTCAAAAACATAATGTTATCCCACTCCAGACCTAAAGCACCAGGGCCATGGCCATCATTGATAATGATACTCAACAATAGGGAAATTAACCAAAAATGCAGATTAGTGATCAACAAATATGAGTTTATCAATAGCTTATTCTTGAAATATTACTTTAATCATTAATATATGATTACAGCTTACTAAGCGCCAATACTTATGAACCATGTAGAAGTGCTACTTGATGTTATTTCAGTAGAGACAGTGAGTCACAGTAAGTTTGAAATGTATGATATGCTTATAACTTGAATAGATAATGGAGTATATATATACATATATATATACTGTATATATATGGATAATTATTATCCATTTAACAGGGCTGGAACAACATGTTATATATATATATATATATATATATATATAAAGAAAAAAAAAAAAAAGTGCCACACAATAATAATAATAGCAATAATAATTTAACAAAACTGATCACTGTTGTTTTATCCCCATAACAGAGTTGAACTATTGAGCTTCCCTCATGAAAAAGAACTACACAAACATAAACATCCTTAAACACAAAACAGGGGAAACGAGACAGAATATCACAAATACTAATGTTAGTCAAATAATAAAAGTAGTTAAAAAGATGCTTACAGCAGTTTTGTATCTGATTATTGGACACTTTTTATTTTATTGCTAATGTAATGAATGCACTGCCTCAGGCTATGACGCTTCTTTCCTACATTTCTATAAGCCTTGCCTTCATTTAACAAATCATGAGTTTTATTTGGAAGGTTTGTAGAAAGGCTGTTGTGTGAGTCAATATAGATTTTTCTGAAGACGCTGGGAATGTTACGTCAGGGCTGTTCTTTTGCATGCTGGGCAGTAACAGGGTGTATTTCTGTCCCAGGTGCCTGACCCCGGGCTGTGACGGCTCGGGACATATCACTGGCAACTACGCTTCACACAGAAGGTAATGTGCACACACACCCTCGTGGAACAAAACAAAATTCCAATAATAAATAAAAATCCAATTAATGTTAGTGTACTAAAGAGAGTTCACTTTTGTTTCGTAACACATTAAAGCACTTGTAAAGTACTTGATTATAGTTTGAACTGTAGTGTGTTATTCAAATATTACATTTATAGTCAATATATTTTAAATGTACTAAATTACAACTTTGACATTACAAACGAATATATTTAAATACAAGCTCTAATAGATATTATATTAAATTGTATTTTAGTTTACCATAAATGTTTGTCAGTATATTCGGCAGTTTACTTTCACCATATTTCAAAAGACAATAATTATGAAATGACATATAAAAGTGTACTTAAGTGGGTCAAAAAGCACTGCTAAATGCATTTAATATACATTTAAACTATAATACGTTTTCATTCAGTTGTAAACAACATGCAGTTAAGTGTCTGAAAACATTGCCTTTAGTTCACACTTTTAAAGCATCTTATTTTCATAATAAATACTCTGTTGAAGTATTTTGAAGTGTACTTAATTTCGCTTAAGTAACAACAGTTTGTTTTTCCTCAGTTTGTCAGGATGCCCACGGGCTCGGAAGACTGGAATAAAGATAACACACAGTAAAGAGGACAAGGAAGACCAGGAGCCGATCAGGTACGACTCACTGCCCTCAATAACTTCATCTGCATCCACTTCTTCTATGAACTGGCATCCAAACAATAATTATTTCCTTTCCTGGATGTGAATATTGCAAATATAGTCACTGCTACCAAACTTATCAACTCCCTTTAACAGACTATGTTGATCTTTTATGACACTAAAGTGATGTGTTCCAATTACTAGACAATATAAGGAGGCAAAAAGTTATAGTTATAATCCAGCTTCTGCTACACTCTAAAAAATGCTGGGTTAAATACAACCCAGTGCTGGGTAAAATAGGGACAAACCCAGCAATTGGGCTGTTTTGACCCAGCGGTTGGGTTAAATGTTTAACCCAACCTTCTGGGTAGTAACCCAACCGCTGGGTCAAAACAACCCAATTGCTGGGTTTGTCCCTATTTTACCCAGCACTGGGTTGTATTTAACCCAGCATTTTTTAGAGTGTAGGTGGCACTATAGGTAGTGTTATTTTTGTTTTGTAGCTTGTGTGAAAGAGATCCCAGTACAGTGAAACAGTAGTTTATTTATGTTTTCAGGTGTCCGGTTCCTGGTTGTGACGGTCAGGGTCACATAACGGGCAAATATGCGTCACACCGCAGCGCATCAGGTTGCCCTCTAGCGGCCAAACGGCAGAAGGACGGCTATATCAATGGCCCCCAGTTCACATGGAAGGCTGGGAAGACGGACGGCACGTCATGTCCCACCCCAGGCTGTGACGGCTCTGGACACGTCAGCGGCAGTTTCCTGACCCACAGAAGGTAAACAAAAAAAAAAAAAGATCAATCTCTCAAACTTTTATTAAAATATGCTTTTTGAATGTAAAGACAAACTGAAAAACCGAATCCCAGTTAAAGATATCTGGAAAGGTAGGCTTATTCTTTAATTTCCTTGATGTCATAATAGCAATAGACTGAATGATTCTTCTCAGTTAGCCCATGGCAATCTACTATTTTAAAATAATCAATTAGGCTAAAAATAATAAAATCATCTATGTCATGCCATTTGGGTGTCTGGTGTCTGATTCTCAGGGGTGCATTTAAGCTCAAGGACCTCACTTTATCTTTTCAGTCCAAAATAAAGAAACATCTAATGTTTTAGATGTTTTAAAATGGTTTAAAAATTCTGTCATGATTTATTTCATCTGTGGAACACAGAGGAAGATATTTTGAAGAATGCTGGTAACCAAATGGGTTTGGTTCCCATTGACTTCCATTGTATAGACAAACTATCAGAGGTGTAAAGAGTACCTAAAAACCTTACTTAAGTAAAAGTACAGATACCTTACAGTGAAAATTACTCCATTACACGTTACAAGTCACCAATTCCAAAACAACTTGAATACAAGTCTTAGAGTATCTGATTTTAACAGTACTTAAGTATTTTACTTATACTAAATATAGGCTCAAAGATGCACTAGTCAAAGAGACATGCTAGTTTAAAAAAACTGTAATGTTGTGGAGAAGCTGGGGGAAACAGGCAGAGGCAAGGATCTATGTGCTGGTATTTCATGGAAAAACTAGAACAAACAGTAAGGCAAAAACCAAAGGGAACAAAGAACAGAATGACTGGCAAACTGACTTCAACAACTCACAAGGAACTAAAGAAAAACTAGGGCTATATAAACACACAGGGGGCTAACAAGCGTAACAAGATAAGACACACCTGGGGAGACTAATCAAGGGGAACCAATGAACAAACGGACTACAAACTGACTACAAACACCACGGGAGACAGGTAGTGACCTAAAAGTCCAGGGAAGGCACAGAGAGCATGAAACAAAAACAAGAAAGAGTTGATTTGTAAGGAGAGCCATTTTCTACATTTATTTTCTAAAACCAAAATAAAACTGAACACCTCAAAATTACAAAACAAACAACAACAAAAAAAAACTATATCTTTCAAAAAGGGAAATCCTGCGCCAGAGGACGTCTTGGAACATCTCACCCTAAACAAAACTTAGCATGAAAGAGAGTCACAGCAGTCCAAACACTAGAGTGAAGGCAACAACAAACAAGAACAAGACCATAATGTTCAGAATCTGCACACATGATAGATTGACCAGGCTATTTATACACTAACAGAAAATCATAAACAGATGGTAGCGAATGCTTTCAGGGCTGTGTTGAGAATGGAATACTAGTGTACTGCATACTGTGCTGCTGCGCATACTATTTTTATTTAGTATACTTCATAGTGTACAACATATAATATGCACTATACTATTTTTGTTTGGGTATTCTATGCATACAGAAAATGCATACTGTGCAAGTGAGCAGTATACATACTACAGATAGACCTAAGAGAAGTATGCTATTCTAAACATAGTCAGTATTTAGGTGAGAGCGCCCTCTGGGGCTGTGTCAGTGCTGTAGCAGGTGCATTAATCACAACATACTGTATAGTGATTAAAACAGTTGTCAACTTCTGCAAAGAATATTTTTTATTCATTCATTCATTCATTTATTGGAAAATACAGAAAATTCTCAATGTCTATTTTTTCAAAGGTTTGAGGTCGGGAAGAGTTTTTAATGTTTTTGAAAGACATATTTTCTGCTCATCAACGCTGCATTTATTAGCTCACAAATACAGTAAAATTGTGAAATATTATTACAATTTAAAATAACTGTTTTTGCTGCTTAATGTTTTGGTAATGCATTTTTGTTCAGGAATATTTGATGAATGGAAAGTTCAATAGAACAGCCTTTATTTGAAATGGAAATCTTTTGTAACATTCTAAATGTCTTTACTGTCAAAATTAAATGTGTTATTGCTGAAAAACTTATAAATGTATTTAAAAAACAAAATCGTACTGATCCCAAACCTTTGTATATGTATAGTACTATATGGGACTTTTTTACTTGCTACCCACATTCTCTTTTTGGAGAACAAAAGTGTTAATAATCCATATCTCATGCTCTCTTATTTTTACAGTCTCTCTGGTTGCCCACGTGCCACAGCAGCAATGAAGAAAGCCAGACTATCAGGAGTGGAGATGCTCACAATAAAACAGCAAACAAGCAATGGTAAAAGAAAAAAACAAGTTTAAAAGTCTCACATTACACTGTACAGCTCAAAACCAAAACAAAACAAATTATGACAGTCTCTGCATACACTCTAAAAAATGCTGGGTTGTTTCAACCCAACTTTGGGTCAAATATGGACTAACCCAACTTTTGGGTTAAAAATTTAATGTAAAAATTTAACCCAACAGCTGGGTTAGTCCATATTTGACCCAAAGTTGGGTTGAAACAACCCAGCATTTTTTAGAGTGTATGCAGAGACTAAAACAGCAAACAAGCAATGGTAAAAGAAACAAAAAAAGTTTAAAGTCTCACATTACACTGTACAGCTCAAAACCAAAACAAAACAAATTATGACAGTCTCTGCATACACTCTAAAAAATGCTGGGTTGTTTCAACCCAACTTTGGGTCAAATATGGACTAACCCAGCTGTTGGGTTAAATTTTTACATTAAATTTTTAACCCAAAAGTTGGGTTAGTCCATATTTGACCCAAAGTTGGGTTGAAACAACCCAGCATTTTTTAGAGTGTATCTGTAACGATACCAATTATACATATCATGGTTTTTAATGCTTGGGAATAAATCAAACCAACCGAGAGTTTATGCGAGCACACTTATAGAGTAAGCACGCAGTCAAACAAGAGGGTGTTTTTATGTGCAGGTATGTATTCTTTTTCAGCTATAAATTATGTTTGTCTGTTCTCACTCTAGGTTTAGACTGTGACACAGATGTTAAACAGCTGGATGAAGATATTAAAGATTTAAATGAATCAAATTCACAGGTGGAGGCGGATATGATCAAACTTAGAACACAGGTGAGGGTATTTATAGAATGAGCTTTGTACTCCATATATGAGTATTAACTGAGTACAGTATACTGAGTCAATGTTTGGAATTATTAGTTTTTTTATGTTTTTGAAAAGTATCTTCTGCTCACCAAGGCTGCATGTACTGTATAACAACTGTAATACTGTACGTTTTATTTCAATTTGAAATCACTCTTTTTCTATTTGAAAATGTCTTAAATTTGTAATTTATTCCTGTGATGCGCAGCTGTATTTTCAGCATCATTACTCCAGTCTTCAGTGTCACATGATCTTCAGAAATCATTCACAAATCAAATGATTTGCTGCATTTCTGATTATTATGTTGAAAACAGTTCAGCTGTTTCATACTAGTGTTGTTCATACACTATTATTTAGAATTTGGGGGTAAGTTTTTATTAAACAGATAACACTGAAAAAAAAAAACGTTGCATGGTTTTCATTAAATTATTAGAGGGCAAAAATGGTTTCCTACATTGGTATCAATCAATCAATATTTGAACACCAGTAATAATTGAGAAGCAAACCAGCATATTTGCCACATATATATTCAGTTTTATGGACTTTTAGTTTGTATTCTTTAGTTCCTATGTTTTATTTTTCCCCGTCACTATTCAGTTGTCATGGTGATTCATTTGACCTGCACAGGTATTAACCATTATACCCTCATTTGCTTTGTATTTAAGTTGCAGTCTTTTCAGTTCTCAGTTGTCCGTTCACGTCTATGTTACAAGTTGTGCTTTGTTTGTCTGCCTGTTTGGAGTACTTTAAGCAGATTACTAAAAGACTTTTGAAACATTATCTTCATCTTCCTGTTCTTCCTTCAATCCTGCGTGACAATATTAGAATGATTTCTGAAGATCATGTGACACTGAAGACTGGAGTAATGATGCTGAAAATTCAGCTGCGCATCACAGGAATACATTACATTTTAAAATATATCCAAATAACAATATTGCTATTTTTACTGTGTCATTTGATCACATAAATGCAGCGTTTGTGAGCAGAAAATGTGTCTTTCAAAAAAAAAAAAAAAATCATAATTATTCCAAACATCGGACCAGTAGTGTATAAACATTTCTCATTTACTCAAGTGCATGGACCATGATTTGGAACATTTTTTTTACTTGAATCATACTCATATGGCCACATATATATTGTCATCTAGTTATATATATGGAGTTCTGACTTGCATTTAAACTCTTGTATCCAAATCTTCTCTTCATTTGTATTTTTGGTCACTGCTGTTTGACATATAGAATATGTCTGGTCTGAAATCACGACTTGGCTCTCAGGAGAAGTTAGTGAATGCAGGAGAATTCCTACAGAAATCATGGAGGGCAGGCAGTTGAAAAAAAAAGATTTAATATATCTGTAGGGTGATACTATTCAACTGTTCAAGTACAACAGAGATGTGTATGACTGTATCTATGACAACATGTATAATGAGCATTCAGTGGTACAATAATGCTGCTGTCAAATGCACTTCCTCTTCAAAATGCCCATCTTGTCAAGGTGTTAATTAGAGATGAGCGTTGTTAAAAATCTTAAAAATTTATTTCACTGTTATGCTGATTAAATAATCAAAATAATCACATGGCAGTTGAAAAAAAACTATTTAATATATCTGTAGGGTGATACTATTCAACTGTTCAAGTACAACAGAGATGTGTATGACTGTATCTATGACAACATGTACAATGAGCATTCAGTGGTACAATAATGCTGCTGTCAAATGCACTTCCTCTTCAAAATGCCCATCTTGCCAAGGTGTTAATTAGAGATGAGCGTTGTTAAAAATCTTAAAAATTAATTTCACTGTTATGCTGATTAAATAATCAAAATAATCACATGCCATAATTTGCTGAGAAAAGCTCAAAATGAAGATAATTTAAGACTTTATGTTATTGTAGCAGACATGTAAATTATTTGAATGCACATCGAATGCTAAAGTGTCTAAGATGTCAGTGTCATTACAGTCAACTTTAATAAACAGCCTGTGGTAGAATTGTCAAATTTCACTTGTATCTAAAATTTTACTATTGTAACACCTTTATTTAAAAAATGGTTGATACATATTGTGATATATTCATTACTGTTTAAACGTTTGAGTCAGTAAGATTTTTTTAAGGAAATTAATACTTGCATTCATCAAGGATGTGTTAAATTGATCAAAAGTGACAATAAGGACATTTATAATGTTACAAATATTTCTATTTGAAATAAATGCTGTTGATGTGAAATTTCTATTTAGCAAATAATCCTGAACATTGAAACTGTATCATGGTTTTCACAAAAATATTCGGCAGCACGACTGTTTTCAACATTGATAATAATCAGAAATGTTTCTTGAGCAGCATATTAGAATGATTTCTGAAGATCATATGACACTGAAGACTGGAGTAATGATGCTGAAAATTCCATCACATGAATAAATATATTCACATTGAAAACAGTTATCTTAAATTGTAATAATATTTCATACTATTACTGTTTTACTGTATTTTTTTCATCAAATAGATGCAGAACTAGGAGTCTTCTTTTAAAAAAACATTACTGACCACAAACTTTTGAACGCTAGTTTACATATCATGAAAAAAAAAAACAGTACATTACGTTTTACGGTATAAATGCAGCATCTGTGTGAAAGTGAACTGAGTCAGACATTTCTTCCCGTCAATCATTTAATAAAACATTTAATTTTAAACATTTCAAGCCCACAATGTACTTACTGTAGTCTTAGTTCAAACAAACAAGATAATAATTGATGGTGTTATGCTATGAAGACGTTATCACAATAGATTTAACACATCTACCAATTCATGTCCCACAGATTACCACAATGGAGTCTAATCTGAAGTCCTTAGAGGAAGAAAACAAGGTGATTGAACAGCAAAATGAATCTCTCCTGCATGAGCTGGCCAGCCTCAGCCATTCACTGATAAACAGTTTAGTTAATATCCAGCTACCTCATATGGTAAGGGCCACCATCCCCAACCGATAGAGGACAAGTCGTGGACAAAGAGCATATTACTTTATTCTGTTCATTTAGAAAAATTAAAAGTAACTTTATTGGGCTTTAGGCCGCAGTTCTTGGTACATTCAGAAAATGTAGCATAATAGTCTGTGCTTCAAACTAGTCCATAGGTGGAAAATTGTAGGAGTAAATTTAATACTTGGTTGTTAAATGTTACCAGCTCTGCTTAAAAAAAAACTGCATAAACCAGCCTAAGTTGGTTTGCTGGTCTTAGCTGATCTCCCGGTCAGGCTGGTTTTATCTTAAGCGGGTTTAAGATGGTTTACCCAGCAACGAGTTAGCTTGAAAACATGTTCTTCACATCAGTCCCAAAGATTTAGAAGCGTAGACATTCTGATTAGAAGTTTAATTCGTCTCATCTCAACTTGGTAAAGAAATATTTGGTTACACTTTATTTTAAGGTGTCCTTGTTACAGTGTAATTATATACTTAAGTACTGAGTAATATTAATTAACTACATAGGGTTAGGATTAGGGTTTGGCTTAGGGGTACTTGCATGTAATAATGCATAATTAATTGTTATTATAATAGTAAGTACATGTAACGTGTAACAAGGACACCTTAAAATAAAGTGTTACCAAATATTTCAGTCATAATCGTATTTGAATCTCCATAGCTTGTTCACCGATTGTCATATTTTGTCAAACTGATATACAATCAATTCTACTGAGTTTGTTCATATTTGAGTTGCTGTGGCTCATTATGTCTATTTCATTAATCACACACAGTGTTGATTACTGTTTATAGGGTTTTAAGCTGACATGGCTCACTCATTTTGTGTTCAGTTTTTTTGACAATGCTGATTGGCTGTTTCTTAAAGGGGTCATATGATGCTGCTAAAAAGAACATTATTTTGTGTATTTGGTGTAATGAAATGTGTTTATGCGGTTTAAGGTTAAAAAAACACATAATTTTTACATACTGTACATTATTGTTTCTCCTCTATGCCCCGCCTTTCTGAAACGCGTCGATTTTATGCACCAAGAGCTTGTAACACTCCAAAGAGAAAGAAAACATTAAAATCGCATCATATGAACCCTTTAAAAGATTTAGATGAAGCTTATTCTCAGGAAACAGTGACTTTTTCTCTCTTTTATTTTCGACTTCCACTTCATTTGAAAAGTTTACTGCTGAACTTAAAGAAGTCGCATTTTCACACCTAAATCAATCCCTTGTGAAAAAGAAGTGTACTTAATTGTATTGAATGTGCACTTGTAGTGTACTTTAGATCTTAAAAGTGCATTAAAAAAACACTGTTCTTGCAGGTAATATATTAATGAAATAAAAGGCCACTTAAATGCACTTAAAGAGAGACACTTTCATGACTATAATTCACACTTACATTTTGTAATTGTCAAATTGAAAGTTATGTACTTGTATCTCAAAGTACACTTTTGTCATGATTTAAAGAAGTACACGTACTTTAACTAACATACTAAAGCACAAGTACTTGATTAGAATTTTAACTGTAGTTTGCTAATTAGAGTCAATATATTTGATATGTGCTACATTGTAAAAGACAATATAAATGATTATGAAATTACATAAAAGATGAACTTAAGTCCTACTTGAGTGGGCCAAAAAGCATGTTTACGTTCAGGTCACAGCATTTAATTTAAATTGAATCTATACATTTTCATTTAATTGTAAATACTATTTTCAATTTTATTAAAGGGTGCTAAGGGTTGGTGTTAAAAATTAGATGCTGCTAAAAAGAACATTATTTTGTGTATTTGGTGTAATGAAATGTGTTTATGCGGTTTAAAGTAAAAAAAACACATTATTTTCCACATACTGTACATTATTGTTTCTCCTCTATGCCCCGCCTTTCTGAAAAGCGAAGAGAAAGAAAAAATTGAAATCGCATCATATGACCCCTTTAACGATTTTTGTAGTATTCAAGGGTGAATTCACTGAACTTGTGCCACTTTTATCAAATAAGAATAATCAGCGGCTTATCCCTTTTACATACAAAATGTCAATGCAAAACCAGCTAATAGCTGCATTAACTAGCTGATATCATCATATAGCATCACATTACATCACATTATTCATTGTCAATATCTTTGCAAAATCTGCAAACAAAACAAAACAAACAAAAAGAGTTTTTCCAGATGTGTTCTTAGATTGGGTGTTAAGACAGAAGTGGCCAGGTCTTGAATGTATTGAGCATGTTATTTGCTGTAAGCTAATACACTTTTTGTTTTTACCTCTAGAAATCACTTCACAAAGAGCCTCCAGTTAGACATAGCAGCTGTTTACATCAGAGAGTAAGGCCACAGTTTAACTCTTACCCTTTTCATACATATGAATATTTGTATGCTGTAAATACTATGTCGTTTATATCAGTCAATTTTCAAATGGCTGAGCGCCGTTGGTGTTAGTCATGCTAAAAGTCATTACTGATTTATTCTTACATTCATTCATGTCCCCCTGAATAGATTTTGTTGTTCATGCTTAATACTGACTTTTCACTGAATCAATTTTTAATAACCATTCAGTCAGCTTTAGTCCTTCACATATTTTTTTCCCATTAATGAATGCTACCAAATCCAGCCATTTCCATTTAGGCTGAATTGACCGAATAAATGATGTTTACCACAGATGTTTTATGTTTGCAAATTGTATTTCTTTTAATTCAAAAGTTTTATTGTGGCTGCAACAAGTTGTTTGAAGAATTCACATCAGGGTTTGCAAAATTCATAATTTAAGAATTGGCTTCCTTTCAGTTCACAACTGTCAGTGTGAATTGAATTAAATTCACACACCAGATGTTGAATTGCAATGAAAGAAATGAAAATTTTGCATTTGAAATCACAGTCACATAAAGGTTTTGTGTCATAGTTTTGACAAATGATGCTATTATTATGTTTTCCATGATACACATTATGAGCCGTTTTATGATAATAAATCTTAAAACTAAGTTTTATTTTGCATATAGTAGCAAAAACAATGTCCACCACATTGTTCTCAGATCCCTTCATAATAAATAAATAAATAATTCTGGGAACTGAAGTTGGGGGTTACAAATTAATAATGTTAATTGTGATATTTACAGCAAGAATTTTCCATAATGATACTTTAAAATAGCATGAACTATGAAAACAGACTTGATTATTATCATCGAATGTTTCTGCAAATAGCCCATATGTTTTTGGCCAATTACACAGACAGTAAACTGCATTTATTTATACAATTATGCATCCTGTGAATTGTATACAGGAATAGCAATAATCCAAGAACTGTATTATAATTAAAGACTTCATTCTCAGAGGTGTATAACCCAGATTCATGTTTTGTCATCATCTTCCACATACTGTATTTCATCTGACAGGAGCTTTCCTCTGTGTTTGACAGGAGCCGATGAGCGAACAGAACTTTGACGCATACGTGACCACGCTAACGGACATGTACACGAATCAAGATCACTATCAGAGTCCAGAGAACAAGGCCCTGCTAGAAAATATAAAACAAGCGGTACAAGGCATTCAAGTCTAGCATCTCAGAACGTTCCTAAAACGAAGGAATACTGGGGAAAGAAGACACTTCCAAAAAAAAACAAAGAACATAGAAATTAATTTGGTTTGTGAATGTTTTATTTTAAACGTCATGGCACAGAAAGCTTACGGTGGGGACCCTGTTACTGCTTCAAACTGCAAAAGGAAATGCTTTGATTATTTGTAGCTTCGTCATTTAATCTGCATCAATGTAACTGCAATAGCGGCTCTAAACATCATGTTGTGATTTGGTCTCTTCTTGAAATAACAGTAGCCGGAATGGAACTGTCTCAGCAATATATGACTTATCCATGTGTATAAAAAAAAAGAGATGCAATCTATGTGGTGGGTATATGCAATTTCATGTTTGTAAACAGTGGAAGCTACAAAATCTTTTTACTATATGTAAATGATTGATTTTTATATAAATCTTTTAATACAAATGTTTTAAAGGGACGGAAAGGTGGAAATTAGGTTTAGAGACATACAATGCTCTACACATTTGTTTCCATGCTTGGATGTTTGTACAGTATGGAAACTTAAGCGGAAGGCATCTGTAAAGAATATAGACAATGAAAACGGGACCTACAGGGTTTTTGCCCCCCACTTTTGTGCCAGAAGCGAAGGAATACTGGGGAAAGAAGACACTTCCAAAAAAAAACAATACTCATATGGGATGCCTCATGCTTTGCTGTTGTAGTTTATCAAACAGTGTTAAATTCATGTTCTTTTAAAAAGTGTTATGCTGATTAAACATGATTTTTTTAAACAGGGTTTATTTTTTCTGGCCTTGCTTTGAAAAAAAAGAACGATCTGCAAAATAGTTTTTGAAAGTATTCACACTTTGTACGTTTCATATTGGCTAATGTGACTCCTTCTTCTGGCTGCTCATTGATGCACCTTCTTAGTGTATATTTCTGAACAGTAATGCACCCACTACTGAACATTAGTTGATGCTTGCTGAAAGAGTGTCACGTGCTTCGGTCGATGTGCAATCTCCAAGTGTCTCTTTGGCACGAGGAAGTCGTGATGACAGACGTTCAGCGGTTTGAGGAGATCAGAGATTACAGGGATTTGAAATATTAATGAGGACAATATCTTTACGAGAAATATTGTGCATTTTTAAATAACAATGCTAGTTCGTTGAGTATGTTGTATATCATAAAAAAAATAATCCCCAGCAGCACTTTATGTCTAATCACTGTACAAAATCATTAAAGAGTAGTCAATCGAAATAAAGCATTTTAAGAAAAAAATCTCCCACTGCAATGGGATCGGTTGTTCAAGTCAGCTGTAGAGTTTGGGGGTGTTGCGGCATTACGTGCACGCCTAATTTCCATTGTACTATTAGCTGTGGCAACCTTGTTAATACCTTATTGAGAGCTAAGGTGCTTGTACTTCACTGGATCTCGTCCATTGTACTAATCAGTCCTTTTTAGGGCTCCATCATTCATGCACAGCATCACATCTGCAGCTTTTTGCCAATATAGTAATGCTTTCGATAGAGAAATTGCTAGTATCACTTTTTGAATCGATTATCGTCATCGGTACAATGGGAATTTAAGCACAAACATGCTGCTCATTTACTGTCGGTGCATAATATACCTTTTTTTTAAACATATGTGACTAATTACTCAAGGTAAGATGAAAGAAGTCACATATTCAAATGCCGAGTTTTCATATGAATTATTGTGAATTCATGAGTTTACTTATCTGAAATGTTTCATTTCAAGGTTGATTTGTTTAATCAGTAAGGAAGACAGGATTTTGTATAAACTATCGTGCTCTCTGTGGAACTGGAGTTTGATTTATTTTTGTACAATGCAGCATGAATTTGTTTTGATTTTACTATAAATGTGTGAGATCACAAGTTACAGTGATTTTTCATTTTTAAAGTGTGAAATTTGTACAATATTTGTCATGCTGGATGTTGACACATCGTACTCTGAATAAAATAAAATGGTGTTGCCACAGACTTGACTACATCTTCTATGAATACAAAATAAGTTAGAGAAGAAGAAATGCTTAAGACAATACAGGCTTCATGAATTAATGTCTTATGTAAATGTTAATTCATTTAAACTAAGCTGGCAGCCATGAATCAATGAAAGAGTAAGAGAAAGTAACTTTTATATATACCCTCCATAGACAGCAGGGTAACTACCACGTTTAAGGCCCAGAAAGGTATCAAGAACATCAACAAAATAGTCCATGTGACATCAGGGGTTCAACTGTAATTTTATGAAGCTATGATAATACTTTTAGTGAGCAAAAAAAAAACAAAAAAAACTTTATTCAACAATTCTTCTCCCCTGAGTTACCATCTACTGCCATTATCGAGAGTAACATGAAGCACACGCGTGCTTTTCTCTGCTCGTAAACAAGGCACAGTGCATACATGTTCTTTGCACACAAAAAGTATTCTAGTAGCTTTGTGAAATTACGGTTGAACCACTGATGTCACATGGACTATTTTAACGTTTCTGTGCCTTGAACGTGGTAGTTACCTGCTGTCTATGGAGGGTCAGAAAGCTCTCGGATTTCTTCAAAAATATCTTAATTTGTGTTCCGAAGATGAACAAAGGTCTTACGGGTTTGGAACGAACTGGGTGAGTAATTAATGACAGAATTTTCATTTTTGGGTAAACTATCCCTTTAAGTGAAGTGTACAAAGCCCTTATGAGACCTAAAATAATTTATCCTGATTCCCTCAGGGGTTTTTCTGTCATTTACAATGACAGAATTGGGTGATCATTTTCAAATTTCTGTAACCTCCCTAGCCTCAGAGATTCATCAAACGTGGCATGTTTCCTCAGATTGTCCTGTTTTGCATGTGTATCACGTCTGGTGAGGTTTGTACCTTGTCTTACAAGACATAGGCTAGTTAGTTATTATGGGCCATACCCCAAAATATAGGGGCCCAAATATTTTTTCAGTAGTATCTGAAAATGTTGTGCAAATCAGACTAGGATACGTTCTCAAAAGATGTTTTTTGTTTGTTTTTAAATCCTCAAAGTGTTGGAAAACCTTTTGTGCAGGCATTGTGGCCAGTTCTGGCCAAATGTTCTTAAACATGATGTCACACAAGAGCTATTAAAACACAGATATGATAGTGATGGCAAATTAATGAGAACAGGGGAAAATTAAGAAAACTTAAAACTCTACCATCTTGTGGCCATTAGTTCCACTTTCTCTTGTTCTTCCTGTAAGCACTACGTCATGGATGGGTGGCCAGTGCAGAACCGTATTACCAACACTAACAGAACTGATTCAGATTTTCATTGAGACATATTTATATTTGATGGTAGTGGACCTAAACTAAGTATATTTCTGTTCTGTGTTTTTCAGTAGTACTGCCTGTAACATGAGTCTCTCTGAGCACAGAAAGAAGGAGGTTTCTGTTCGGAAACGTAAAGCAGCATCTCCAGAATCCATCTATGTGTCTATGAAGAAATACAGGTCCATGAACACACCTCCTATACTCAATGAACTGCCTCTGACCCACTTGTATCAGTTACTGTACTTGATTCAGTTGCACCTTTTGTATTTTGTAGTTGAGTTGAGGTGTGCTGGAAACATTTGTGAATGCTTTTCTGGATTTTAATGCTTTTTCTGACCTAGTTCATTTCTCGGTTTCCTCAGAGTGAAGAAAGATAATGTGATCAGATCAGTGACCTGCACTGACTCTGACTGTGAAATCTTCAATAGGCAAAGGGTCAAAGACCGACACAAAATCAGCATGAAGAAGAAGTATGAGAGCTTATTTGAGAGAAGCAAACTGGTAGAGAATCAAACCCTCTTGAACAGGGTCTACACACAGCTCTACATCATAGAAGGAGAGAGTGAAGGGATTAATGAAGAACATGAGGTTTTACAGATGGAGAAAACAGCCAGAACACAACACACTCCAATCTACTGCAATGACATCTTTAAACCCTTACATGAATCATTATGTGAGGAGAAAAACAAAATCAAAACTGTTCTAACTAAAGGCATCGCTGGAATTGGAAAAACCGTCTCTGTGCAGAAGTTCATTCTGGACTGGGTAGAGGGAAAAGCCAATCAGGATGTAGATTTCATGTTTGTGTTTCCATTTCGAGAGCTGAACCTGATCCGAAATCACCAGTACAGTCTTCACAGACTTCTGCTGGACTTTCATCCTGAACTTCAAGATCTAGACTCAAAGATTTATGAGGAGTGTAAAGTTGTGTTCATCTTTGATGGTCTGGATGAAAGCAGAATTACACTGAGGTTTTCAGACAGAAAAAAAGTTTCTCATGTGAATGAGTCTTCATCTGTAGGTTTGTTGATGTCAAACCTCATGAAAGGAGAGCTGTTTCCATCTGGGTCACCTCCAGACCAGCAGCAGCCAATCAGATCCCCTCCAAATATATAAATTGTGTGGCAGAAATTCAAGGATTCAATGAGCCTCAGAAAGAGGAATATTTCAGGAAGAGAATCAGTGACGAGCATCAAGCCAGCAGAATCATCTCACACATCAGAAAAGCAAGAAGCCTCCACATCATGTGTCACATACCCGTCTTCTGCTGGATCTCATCCACTGTGCTTCAAAACATCCTGAAACAAGATCTCAGTGCAGAAATCCCTCAAACTCTGACTGAAATGTACATCTACTTCCTGCTCATTCAAACAAATATGAGGAACCAGAAGTATGAAGAGAGAGATCTGGAGAAACTCCTGCAGTCCAACAGAGAAGTGATTGTGAAACTTGCTGGACTGGCTTTCAATCAGCTGATGAAGGGCAATGTGATGTTTTATGAGGAGGACCTGAGAGAGAGCGGCATAGACGTCAATGACGCCTCGGTGTATTCTGGGATTTGCTGAGATCTTTAGAGAGGAATCTGTGATTTATCACAGGAAGGTTTACAGCTTTGTACATCTGAGCTTTCAGGAGTTTTTTGCAGCACTGTATGTGTTTTAAATGTTTAGTCTTTCCTGACTCACTCCAAACATACGTAACCTGTCAGATTCAGAAGGTCATTGTCACACCTGCTTGTAGGCTGATACAGAATGAT